AAATTTTCGTAACAAAATATTGTTGACCAATGCTTTGACAGCTGATGTACCACTGACATGCACTGATAACAGGGACTAAGATGGCCAATTCGGCACAACTAGGTTTTTCTGATGACGTCAAAAAATTATGGCCAGAATGACAATAATGTGTTGTCTCTTTCTGCATAAGCAAAGAGACATAAGTAAAAAAGAAACAACAGTATGTTTATGAATTTACCGTCAAGATTGATCCTAAATTCTACCCGTAGACAATAGCCAGACATCTATGTTATATTTATAAATCTATGATCTATTCAAATCTATTGTGGTCTAAGTCCAAAGAGAATAGAGATTCAAGCCTATGGATTCAAGTTTACCATAGATTATTTTACTATAGATTAGAGATGGACATCGAAGAAAATAATCAAGGACTCGACTAAAACATTCATTTTTTACTTTTATATCATCAATATTATATATTATATATATGGGTCCGTACCCTAGCGAATAGGCCTAATAAATTATAAATAGGTAATTCGTCCCAAAACATCACATCAAAACAAAGTCTAAGTCGACCGGAGTGATACCACACCACGGCCTCACAGTAAACAGACGTGAAACAACGCTTGCGTTCTGTTTCGTCGAGTGAGTGAGGTTACCGGAGGCCCAATTACCACCTTCCCCAGTCTCCCCAATCCCCCACAATCCTCAAATTCCTAATTCCCAAAAGGCCGGTAACGCACTTGTAACGCCGCTGGTTTTTCGGGTGTTCATGGGCGACGCCGATTGCTTGCCATCAAGTGATCCATCTGTCCGTTTACCGGCTTATCCCATAAAACAAAATACACCCATACCATAGGTACACTTACTTATTTATTGATTGTGCTACTTTGCCCTATCAGGGACTCGAACCTAAAAAGACTGATTGTATTAGCTCATTATAGATTTATTTAAAAGTAGAAAATATCACAATAAACTTAGTAGTTTACGATACTTAGGACGTAGTCGTCCAGGTCCCTATTATCGCTACTACGGCTAAATATGTAGAATAATATTTATCAAGTTATATAATTTAACAGCTTTACCTACTTTATTTCTGAACCTAGGTGTAAAACGTAGGTAAAATCAGGTAAAATCCTATGGTAAAATCCCACAGAGCATCTATGTAAAATCCCATCCTAAAAAGATATATAAAAATGTTATATGCAGTTCGGCACGTATCTACAAAGAAGTTATTTAATTATAATAGGTATTACTGCTATACTTGAGCATATATTATACATAACTGTTTATTACAAACAAATGTAAAGAATCTTGAATCCGAACGCTAACATACAGCGCATGTTTCACCGTCTTGACGGCTCGACGCATGCGTATAGCGCTAATGTATATGGGGCAAGGTTTTCAACTCAGCATGGGTTGACGCAGTGCTCACAAAATGAGGGGTGGAAGTTCAGAACGCTTGGTTGTACGGCCCTCTCGACGTAGAGGAGAAACGCGTGCTAAACTTACGCGATATATCACTGTCATACTAGCTACTTTGTTGGGAGGTGGTGGCTCCGCTTTACTCTTCCTCGTCCCACTGTACGCAGACCCAGCGCTAAGTGCCCTAGCGGCGGACTTCGATCCGGTGCCAGCAGAGTGTGTAACTGAAAGACGTGATGACCGACTTGGCTTGGACAACTGCACTTGGGCTTCCTGTAGAGAGGGCTGTACCAGCGACGCGTATAAATGCACACAGCTCCACGTTAAGTATAAAGCTCACTCGGAGGAATGGCGTCCAGCAGTCCTGTTCGTCAATATAAAAGGATGCGGCTATCCACCTGCAGTCGACTGTGAAAACTTTACAACGAGCTACGGGTATGTGGGAGCCCGGTACCCCTGTTTTTGGTCACGAGCTGATACATCGGTCGTTGTGCCGCGTTGGTCTCGTGGAGAACAAGTCGCTACTGTGACCAGGACCTTGGCCGTACCGCTGTTCCTGTCTGGTTGCGCTGGGATTGGACTGTGCGCTCTGCACTGCGAGTGCAAGCCTCGCCGTCGCCGACGTCCGCCGCGTCGCCCCCCACGTTTGCCTACACTCTCACCCGATGACACATCAGTCTACCGATTAGCTTAATCTAAAACGAAATAAGCACAAATTATATTTTCGATAGTGAGAATGTAAATAATATATGTGTAAATATATATATTTATCAGCAGCTATTCGCTGTCTATATATTTTATTTCATATTCATCAAAACCAGTTATTGAGGGTAAAAATAAACCAATAAGAAACTATTGAAAATTAACTATTTATTGTATAAAGAGATGCCAATAAAAATGAAATAAAATGGGTGTTTTATTTCCGAAGCAATCATGTACCTCACGTTTTGTCGTGATGTTAATTTATGATATTTTGACGATTGATGAAATTCACTGAAAATAAAGGACCACATGAAAAAGTGAAATCACAAGTTATAGAAGTAAAATATTTATTTCAAGGTTTATAATGTGTCTTTAACTTAATTCTTTATGACATACAAAATAATTTTCAATTTCAGTTCAGTCCAATGCCAATGTATACTACATATCCTTCAGTCTTCGAACAATCATTCATTTCTACATTGATAAACAGTATGTACTTATTTTTTACAATATTTTAAGCCATTTTTATATACCATAAACAATTAACATTAATTGGAAATATTTCTATGTTGGCAGTTTTTTTTTTATATTTTCTATTAGAAGCTGATTTATAATTTATTATAGGTAACTTGGGTAGATTTTATTTATTTGTCGATAACTTTAAAATCTCAGAAACTTAAGAAAGGCAATTAAATAAAGGACTGTAGTGTTGCGATATTTTTATCGACAAATAAAAAAAAAATATTAAGGCAGAAGTATTTAGGAAGCTCAGTTTACGAATATCAACTATGAGTAAAATAATTAAAAATAGCTATGAGGATAACAAGAAAACGTAGCGAATGATCATTTAAATACAGTAAATAAATTTAGATATGCAACAATAAAACAGTTTGGTAACTATATTTTTAGGCCTTGTGTTGGACAAATGATTCCATGAACAGAGAACAACTACTTCTGACCGAGTGTTAAGAAAAACATTCAATCAATGACATCGTAAATGACATAACTAATCAATAAATACTAAATCGCATTAATTACGAAAAGTTTTACAAACCCGCATATTAAGTTTTAAAGGGAAAAGGGATTACTATTTTAAAGAACATGGTAGAGTACTAACTAGTCCATTTACATAGTGTTTTGTTTTCGAAAGTAGGTACTTTAGACATCGCTTCGGCTACCTTATCTATATTTACAATCAAGTAAAAAACCCTACTTAAATTTTACGCTCACCTTCCCTTCTCCCTTCTACAAAATTATATACTAAAGTGATACAGCCAAATGTGTGATGAATTGCTAAGATTTGTTAAGTCAATAGAACACGAATTTAAGTCAAATAAGTGGACAGGCATTACAGTCACTTTAGTTTCTACACCACATTTAGTCATATCATATACATAGTTTTCATAAATAGTGAACATGGAACGGAATCTCACAATTCATCAATAAAAATACCTAACAAAAATAACTTAAAACATCGCACTACAAATGAGCAATAAAACGTTTTTAAAAATAAGATTCTATTCCATAACACGTTACGAACGTCCTTTCTGCTTATAATAGTTATCTGTGCATTAAAATTATTTGGGCGGGAATTTACAAGGTTTCTTCGGATTCAACGCTGTATTAATTTTAATAAGGTCGGTCAATGTTACCGAGTGTATCTTGCATTTTTAATAAAATAGCTAAAGGATCACGCTATATAGCGTGACACTTGTAACGGTTAAAACAAAACAGGTGACACATTTATAAGCAGAAAAGAATAATAGGATAATGTAACAATAATTTAAAATGTATGTAATCACAACCGCTCTACATCCAAAACAGCAAAATCGATTTAAATAACTTACTTTATAAAATAACATGACTCGCATTAAAATGTAATTAGCATAATTTACTACAATAATTGCTATTTCGGATACAGTATTAAAAATATTATACTAGATTGGTACCTAAGGTGAAATTGTGTTGACAAGACGAATATTTTTTCGAGGTAAAGTTTGCAACGGCAATTCGAGAAGTTATAAAATATCATACGTAGTTATTTGACTGGTCATTGCAACAAAGCTGCTGTTTAATTCAGTCTAAGCAGCTTCGCCTCTCACGGACCATTCGTCCCAAATTTCACCTTTAACATTTGTGTACAAAATTTCTAACTATGTATTATAAATTAAGGAAATAATAAGCATCAAACGTTTCCTTTGATGATCATTAAGTTTCAATAAATTATTAAGGCAGTCATTATTCATTAGCGAGACATAACATGGTGGTGATACTAAATATTATGATTCTATTCATTAATTGGTGTTTGTATGGAATGTTATATTTTACATAACATAATTTTTGATACCCAGAGGATATAATATGTTCAACGTAGCATCCAGTCGCAAGTTATGTTGAGTTTCATATAAACAAAAATGAACTAATAAACTCATGTATGTATACTGAGAAAAGCTCTATTAGTTTCAAATTGCGAGTAGTCAAAGTCCGCGCACGCTGCTCATAAGGAAGAGTCCCACTGTGACACGAAACTAGTAGAGCTTTCCTCGGTATATTTACCTGAGAAAATCGGTATATTTACCTTTTGGTTAACATCAAATTCATAAGACGTTTTCCAATATACAGTAAATTGTAATTTGTAAATTGTTTAATGAAAACATTGAAAACGTAGTATTAATTGAATTTGTCTACTTAATTCGATTAGATATACATACATACATAACATTACGCCTTTTATCCCCGAAGGGGTAGGCAGTGGTGCACATTACGGCACTTAATGCCACTGTACAATGTAACACTCATTTTTCACTGTTTATGTTATGAATCCCATGTATTAGGGTGTGAGCCTATTACCATATACCGGGCACATTTCCAGACTCCGTGCTACAACTGAGGCGTTTAAAAAAAACAGTAATATTTTGCGCGACCCGGGAATCAAACCCGAGACCCCTTGCTCGGCAGTCGCACTTGCGGCCACTCGGCCAACGAGGCAGCCGATTATATGTTTATTACAAATTAAAAATCGACTAAACAGTTCAACTAAATAAATCGATATGAATTTAAAACACCATGTTATGTCGGTGGACACTAAATACATTAAATTAAATGCTAATAATGCTTTAAGTAGCTAATTCGAGATTTGGTGATCAAATATTCTCACTAGCTATTCGCTACTTAAGATGTATAATTGAGAAGTTTTTTTTAGCATATATAGCCGTTGTAACCAAACAGTGTTTATTTTCCAATACAAATAGTCAACAATTTAGTTTGCTTTTGTTGTTTTCTACATGTTTCAAATAACAGTTTATAATAGGGTAGATGACTAATTTTTATTTTAATGCCCGTCTGGTAGATTATTTAAAAACATTAAACACGTTTTTTTTTATACGGAACCGAATAGTTTCCAAGATATATTGATTTGAAATATCGCGTGTCGTCACTTTTGAGTACGATTTATACTCTAAAATGACGTAGCTACCTCCCACTTCTAAACTTTGATTCGTTTTATCTAAGTATTGTTTTCTTATACGACAAAATAAAAGAATACGTGTCTAATATTTTTTCATTAGCTGACTTACGGACTAATTAGATTTTTAATTTCCATACCCTGTCATCATCCCTATTTGATTATTTTTGTTTATGTATTAGCAAGTTTCAACAGTATTTGTTAAATATCTATAAGTACCTATTAACTATATTGGTATAACAAAGCAACATTATTAAACTTCTCAATTATTATTGCTATCTGAGTTATGTGATAATATAAATTAATGCAAGTGGATTAAAAATTATTGTTTGACTTGCTTCAGAATAATAAACCTTAGTGTTTGTGTAATAAAGGTGATGATGATTTTATTAACGTAGACCAGTATGGTCTAAGTTTGTTTGATTGATATTGAATTCTAAGTAGTTAGGTGATACAGTTGATATTTCCATGGCAAAATTTCCTTTTGATACTATTATTGATATGGGTTACTTCTAGCGAACCATATTTTAATAGGCACTTTTTTAGTTACATCCAAAGCTGGTTTTAAGCCAGACTTGAATAAATTTTCTGACTAACCAATAAATCAGCAAATTGTAACCCTAGGCCTAAACATGTCTTCTCCAAATAATTTACCTTACCCAGATATCGAAGCTAGAAACACTAAACCAATAGCAAGTCAATATACAAAAATTATTTAAATACCACTTGCAGTACACTATTAAAGCATACTTATTATCAACTAAGCAATATAAACAACATATTTTGGAATATGTACATTAACCTATGAAATTACACATACTCTTAACTCCATTAATGAATACAAGAAACTATATAAACTACGAACCGAAATATTTGCATAAATTTTATTGTATTTTTGACAAAATTCGGACAAAAATAGCGATATTTTCATAATTAGTATCGTGAAATATACTGAATTAACTAAACATACTGAGCACAGTTCTACTAGTTTCGAGCCACAGAGGGACTCTTCCTTATGAGCAGCGTGCAGGTCGCGGTGACTGGCCGGATTGGCCGGCTCCGTTGAACCACCAACCAATCAGAGCAGCGAACGCGGTCTCGTTTCGATTACTTTTAACGTAAAACAAACTCGTACTAGGCAATGTGTACTGTTGCTCATGAAAAAGGGTCCCTCTATGACTCGAAACTAGTAGAGCTTTTCTCAGTCTATTTACGTAGGTAAAACGTTTTTTTTTTTTTTAGTTAAAAACAGCGATTTTGTGTTATGATCGCTTATTTAATCTAGGCCCAATATAGATAAAATATAAAAAGGAAAATCAAAAGTATGTGTAATCTGTTGTCTGTATTCATGACTGAATTTGCTATAACAAATCTATATTTTGTCTGTTATTATGTCATGTGTCGACAGATGCTTTATTTGTTAAATATAGAATAGTTTATTCGAAATTCTTTTTTGTATTTTTGTACTCATTTTTACATCGAAGTCGTAGTCTACTTCAATCCTTATTAACAAGTCAATATTTGGATGTAAGTAAGCCATAAAATTGTCATGTAAAGGTCCGAATCAAACAAAATAATTTCAAATCAGTCCTTGTCATCACGCCACAATTTTGACAAGTCTCAAATTGAGATGGTAAAAAAATCCCAGGTATTATAACAACAAGTGAAATGGTATATTCATGAATACAGACTTAAATAAGGACTAGACATGATCATAGAACAACCTGAGACATCTGTGAGGCCAGTCGATACCTCTTACTCTCGATATCTACATTGGTGTCTATGCCACGCTTCACAGCCATACTAGTCGAGGGTTGAACTTCTAAACTAGCATCAATAAGTCTACTGGACCTACAATACCTGTAATCAGCCGATGTGTTGACGCGTTGCACGGTCATGTCGACGGCAGTGGGCAGAGTGTAGTAATTTTCTGTGTTGACACTTTGAGAAGGGTTGGAGTCATCCAAGTCTAAGACTGAGTAGTTGGTGTCAGGTCGACGTTCCACTGGGCGCTGACGGTAGGAGGTGTCGACGTGTGAGTGGGAGCGCGCCGACGACGAGGAGCTGCACGTACTGGAGGCGGGCGACACGTGCAGCGTGGGGGACGTGCTCGGAGTCTGGTTGGGGGACGTCCGAGCGCTGCTGTAACCTTGATCCACTTCAGATTCCACAGACGTCTCACGAGATTTCAGAATCTGCATCATCCTGGAATTTACACATTTATTTTTAATTTTTCCATTTTCTTGTGGAATGTCTATAGGACGGGCGTTGGTAATGCTCAGGTATTCGCTTCGGTGGTATAACCATAATAACGGGACATCAACCGAAAGGGATATCGACCAGCTCTTTTGAGCGTCTTTTCGGCCTTTGATCATCATTATTAAAGTACAGTTGAAACAGAAATCTATTTTTTATAAAATAAAGTTAAATAAGTTCCATTGCCTGTACCCAATATATACCCGAAGTTTTGAAGTGCCCATAGGGGGGAAACTTTTTAGGGCACTATACCTAGTTTGCAAAGTATATACCTACAGTACCCGACGTTAAATATTGCACATTGACCTATTTCAAAAATATTTCATAGTGAATTACTCATTTGTTTTGATTCATCCTTTTGAAGGAGGTTTTTGGAAGAATGGTAATGCACATAACTCCTCTGGTGTTTCAGTTGTCCATGGGCGCACCTTTTGCTTATGTATTCCCGGACGAGCCCCCATGCTCGACTCGTTTACTGACTTATCCCATAGTAAAAAGAACCCTGTGGCACATATAACTAGGCCCTTGAATTTGTTAAGTTCATATAAGAGGTCTGTAGTATTTACCTCTGCAGTAGTCTCGCGATGGGTGCGACGGCGGCCGGCTGGCGGCCGGCGAGCGCGGCCAGCCAGCCTGGCCACGCCACCAGCCCCAGCTCGGCGCGGGCGCACGCCACGCACGCACAACCCACGTCCACGCACTCCACCACCTTTAGACGTACATCTGTAGACAAACCATACGTTGTTCATATTACAATAATAATTATAAACTACGTTTAAAAAACCTAAGGAAAAAGATTCGTAAAAACTTGCGTCTAGGTAACAAACGAGCCGCGGACGACCTAACGGGTAGCCGGGGCTCCGGCTCGAAAAGCAGGAGTAGGAACGGGGTGGTTTTTAGTCAGATGTCTGTCTCCCTCTCGCTTAACTCAAGGCGGGAGAAACCATTGGACGATTTCCCACCTCAAAAAAAAGGTGTAACAAATACTTTTCAGAAAACTGTATCAGAATCGGTTTAGTCAATAGTGAGATAATCGCGTATTATGGATAGAGACATATATGAACGTACAGCTCAAACTGAGAACCCATTCTTTGTTTGTAGTGGGTTATTTTTTTTTATGCCATAAGCCGGTAAACGAGCAGACGGATCACCTGATGGTAAGCAATCGGCGTCGCCCATGGACACCTGGAACACCAGAGGCCTTACAAGTGCGTTACCGGCCTTTTGGGGATTAGGAGTTTGAGGATCGTTGGGAATTCAGGGATTGGGGAGATTGGGTAAGGGGAGGGTAATTGGTTCTCCGGTAACCTCACTCACACGACGAAACACAACGCAAGCGTTGCTTCACGTCGGTTTTCTGTGAGGCCGTGGTATCACTCCGGTCGAGCCGGCCCATTCGTGCCGAAGCATGGCTCTCCCACACTTTCTTTTTTTAAGAACCTTTGAACCAAAATATGCATAAAACTCACCGGAAAGTGTCAAGTCTAAATAGGCTTCTAGTGCTTTAGCTCCATCTCGTTTGAATCGTCTAACAAACTTGGGATGTCGGGTGGTAAGGTCGCTGTCGGTGACCACATATTGAGCCAACAGTGCTGCATACGAAACTGGTGTTGGCGACAATAGACGCCACCGTACGTGTTGGCCGACCATCCATTCCAACTGCCTGAACGTCTTCCCACACAAGTGTACTCGGCTTATTTTCGACAAAGTCTTCAATGTGGGCGCTCGACTGAGATTTTCTTCGCTTTTTGCTGTGAACAAAAAATTACATTTTTATTATGAAAACGAATCGATGGTATCACCTGATGGTAAGCATCAGTTCATCACCAAAGAGAACCGAAGCAAATGAAAGGCCTCCTCAATAAAAGCTTCCGTTGCCATATTCGTTATATTGGGGATTGTAGTGGAGTATTGAGACATTGAGTATGGTCCCAGAAATAACATTGCACATAATTGCCAGGACAATAATAAACAATTTTCATCACAAATACCTGCTAAACTTAAGCAGGCCAAAGCGACGTGCGTAAGTCGGTCAGCCCTGAGTCTATGAGCGTCCATGAACAAGTCCAATTGAGCCACGGCGGAGTGCAAGGTCGCAATGCTAAGACCCAATTTCTTTGTGGCGTCACGAAGCTGCTGTACTAGGGCTCCACGAAACTCCAGCTGTAGAAGGGAATTTTTATTATTGAGAGGTTTACTTCGAAATCTATAGATTCTGTTGAAATAATTAAAAAACCTGCCTCGTTGGCTTAGCGGTCGCAAGCGCGACTGCCAGGCATGAGGTCTCGGGTTCGATTCTCGGGTCGGGCAAGGAATTACTAGATTTTTTTTAAAAATTCAGTAGTTGCACGGAGTCTGAAATTGTGCCCGGTATATGGCACTAAGCATGCCATTAAGCTCACCCCCTATTACATGGGACTCATAATATAAGTAGTGAAAAGTGGGTGTTATATTGTACAGTGGCATTAAGTGCCGTAATGTGCGCCTCTGCCTACCCCTTCGAGGATAAAAGGCGTGCGATATTTCAAATCAATATATCTTCGAAACTATTCGTTTCCGTAAGAAAATAAATAAAACGTGTCTAATGTTTTTAAATAATCTACCGGACGGACATTAAAATAAAAATTAGTCATTTGGGATTGATTAGCAGACTGGGAGAGATTGCCTCAGGTTTTAAGTCCGTCTTTGTGCCTACGTTTTATGTATAAACGAATTATAGTCTACATATACCTATTTTTCATCACAAGACTGTCACTTCATAATATTTTGCGGCCACTCGAACAAAGATTTAGTCAAATATTGATATTCTAATTAAGTTAATCAGTTAACGGACTAGTTTATATGAGACTAAGTAAATTATGGCCAAGGCCAATAAATTACGTCATTTAGCACATTGTGTTTCTGGTCTAAGTAACTAAAACGTGGTCTACTTTCATTCATGACACATTTGACAGAATTGGAGTAGGCAAGAGATAGAGATTAATCCTACATTTATACCTAAACTTAAAATATTGTACATGTTTTTTTTTTTAATATTATAGATTATTTCTCCACGGACTCTAGGTCCGTGCCCTTGTCATACAGTTTTTTAATTATAATACATCTAGTCAAGAGGAAACCTAGTTACACACTACAATTAACTACATCTATAATTACTACCAAAAGTATAGGTTACATAATAATTAGGCACTATTTATTTATTTCTATTTCAAAGGCTTTATGAAACCAGCCCACAAACAAGATGGGAGAGCCGACCTGACCCAGCAGAAGGCACCCGTTCACGAGTATGACGTGTGTGTCAGCAATTGGTCCGGTCAACCTTTTTATTGGGAACGGAACAACCCAACACACAGCGCCACCGACTGTAGGACATTTATGTGTGCATGACGCCTCAACCCTTGCCACGTGGGCCGATTCCAATAAAGCGTACAATAGTCCAAAGTCAATTGGTTATATTCTATTTCTACATGTTTCTGCACACACATTTCCTCATGTTCATTGTACATGTTTTAATTATGTGATTTTATATAATATTTTTAACCGACTTCATAAAAACTAGGCTCAGTTTGACCTGTGTGTATGTATGTATGTGCGGGATATCTAGCTATTGGCTGAATCGATTTTGATCCAGTATTCACAAGTATAGTACACAGATTTTGGAGAGGGATTGTAAACGGCTTTTTTAAACGTAGTTTTTATTTTAAGGAATTATTTAGTAGTGTGTGTATTCCATCACATTGATATGGTGAGGAATATAGGTGCTTAAATTCCATTTTTCTACATGACATAAGTATTTGTGTCATTCACAAATTGTTCTGTCCTCCAGGTCCGGCCGTGATATGTGAGTTTCGTTTTTGTACATAAATGCACAATATGTATATAAAGAAATAAGGTTTTTTTTATTTATTTTGCTGCACGTCAGTGGCGTGCATTCCATATAGGCAAAAAGGCTTTGCCTACCTTACAAATACCGTGAATAACACTACGTAATAAAAGATATAAACATTTTAATTTTACTACAGAATACTAAAATAATAATTATAATAAAATTAGTGAACGCCTAAAATAAATAGTATAGCAACAATGATGGCGCGCGATACGTGTTGCATTTCGCCAGGCGTACCGTATATAGCTGTAAACATTAACGCGCGAGGCAGGCACGCGGTTCCGTCGCCTGCAAACCATTCATAAATTTAAGCGTGTAGTGGTGAACGTCATTGTGTGCGTAGTGCACAGACGCGTTTATTTTATCGTCGCGAAGCTTGCCTGCAGGCACGGCCTGACGACTCGTGATGAAGTTCGCCGCGAGCCGACCAATCACGTTCCGTGTCTTGGTTTACTCATTGGTCGCCTCGCAGCGAACTTCACGCCGCTCGCGCGTGACAATTTTTTTGTTTTTGTTTACGTGCGATGCGTGGATTTTCGGATAATTTTGTTATTTGATTTAGAATACGATTAGTAATTCTACGCAAATAATTTGTAGTAAACGGTATAAAATTGTCTATTTATATAAGTACATTTTATTACTGTGTTTGTTTATTTGTTAATTGATTTTGCAAAGTTATACGAAGAACTGTGAAGTTTGTATTGACAAAAGTTGGTAAAGAATTATAAACTATCGCAGACCATCGCTTAGTGATTAGATTGTGTGTGAGTTTTTCTTCTGATAGTCTTGTCTTGGTAAGTTCTATGAAAGTTACTTTATTTTAATGTGATTAGGTTATGTAACATAAGTAGGTACCTACGCGGAGCTTCCCGTCGCGGCAACTCAGTCAGTAAAAATAACGAAGCTTTAAGTAATATGTTATGTACTAATTATAAAATGAAATGAAGAAGAATAAGCTAGGTAAATGAATGTTTAATAATACTAAAAAATGTACTACCGCTTACTCGGCTCGGCCGCAGCCGGCCGCGCTCGGTTCGATTTTTCTATTAGTCATACCCAAGTTCTTAAAATCATAATATCTCTTGAATAGATGAACCAAACTTATTAATTCGAAGAATTAAATTAAAATAGTAAAGAATTCGTAATATTCTTGTATTAAACGTGAGAAGGCTGGACAGGCCGCCAGTTCAGTACAATTTTTAGAATGAACAATTCGTTACTGCTACTGAATTGATAACATAAATTAGATTAATCGTTATACAGCATCTCGAGTAGGTAATTATACAGATTAGTTTTACAAATCTAAAGAGAAAAATAGAATATTAATGTTTTTAAGTTGTTAGAGTAATCAATAAGTTGATGTAATACTTCACGAAAACAACGAGAGATGGCACTGTTACAAAGAATTGACGAAAGATTAAAAACCTCATAAGTTGAATTATGTTATGTATTTACGATGAGTTTAATCATAATACAATATTATGTTGCCTACCCTGTTCTAAAACCCTGTGCACGCCACTGCTGCACGTCTCTGTCGGTGAAGTAGAAATTTATTTAGAAGGATGATAGATGGAGCTATGACCTCGTTGTTTCTTGATCGATAGAAACGGTAAAATAAAAGATGTCGAATGGACGTTTATGTCAGAAGAGATTGAAATAAACGAATTAATAATAAACAGTATTTAAATAAAAAGGGAATCGACATGCCTAATAATAAATTTTAAATGTGATTTTTTTTTATTACCGAAGCAACACATTGCGTTTGTTTGTGGTGGATTCCTAATAAATTGGTCTTATATGTATAAAAAAGTTTAAAACTGAAACACCATGATCTGCTTTTTAGCAAGTTTAACAAAGGTGGAATATTAATAAACACCGTATGCAAGTAAATCAGATATTGTAACATTACTCAAGGCTTTAAAATCCTTTCCAAAAATTCCCCTTATCTTACTTATTGCACAATTAGAAAGTTTTGTGTGAAATATTTTAGCGATAACACTGTTTTGTTCCAGAACTACATAAGTACCTATTTTTATCTGCGTTTAGTACAGACTAGTTTCGACAAGTTCCATTTTTTCACATCACATCAACAGCCTTTGCTTAGCAAAGCAAAGGCCTCTTCTCACATGGAGAAGCTTTGAGTATTCATCACAACGCTTACTCAACGAAGGTTCTCGATCCATAATTTAAAAGGTCCATATTATTATTACAAAATCTAGATAACGACAGCTCTAAAAAAATTAAAGTTTCGGGACAGCCAAATTGTTACCATGTAGGATACAATTCGGGCCTTATTTGCTTACAACAAAACGAGCAGGTACGTACAAAGATAGTCCCCTACCTTTGGGCACCCTAGCCAAGACAGTTTCTTTGTGAAAGAGCACCTGGTATTCTGTACTCTGTTGCAAAATCTTAAGATATGCATCTTTTTATTTCATGTTTGAAACTGAAGTTTCGTTTTTTTTTTTCGGTGCTCGGTCTATTAGAAAGGGCACACCTGGCATCGTACAAGGCGAAATGCTTTTACAAAAATGAACTTTGTGTCTCGATAGTATGATCGAAAGTCACTTAAATTATTGCGCACAAAAAGGTAAGGCGTAGATCTCTAGGAACCCAATACATTTTTATCACATGTATAATTCCAATTTAAATATTTAGATCAAGTCTGTTTATACAAATTACGCCCTAAGGGGGAGACAGACATGTATGTCCATGTTGCAACACTTTCAATATCTATGCAATCAATTGCTACAATGGAATTTGATCTTTAAATACTATAAGATAAAATCGAATGCAGAGTGGACGGACAGAATGATGAAATAGCTTGCGTAAAACGTAGACGGTATGAATCATAATAATTACATTCAATATACAGCTTAGGTCGGAATGTCCTTATTTCAAATAATCAAAATGAATTTCGTCATTCGGTTTGTTTACAAATAAACCTGTTTGTCAACCATCAAGGAACAAAATACGCGTCACGGGTAAAATGAAAAAAAAAAAACAAATTTTGTTGCGCACGCCAAAACAGTAGAACCAACCAATTTGGAGACAGGGATAGACGAAACCGGATGGGGCAAGGCGCACCTTTTTTGTAACTAACAAAAAAGGTTGAAACCTTCGATATGCGTTTTAAAACTGTGCGACTTGTTCGATTTTAGTACAATAAGGGATGCATTTTATTCCACATTTAACTGTTCAGTACCTAAGTGTTACATTCTAGTTTTTTTAAACAATAGTCCTTTATAATTCGCAGGAAACGAACACGAAACCTCATACTTGCTACTTCTATTCAAATAACAAAACAGCCTGTTTATTAGAAACATATTTAAATACACTGTAATACTTTTACAACAAAGTAACGCAAGTAAGTAGCTGACCAAAATGCTTAGAGTACCTACTTATTTTCGACTATAGAATATTCTGGAATTTTGCTCGGTCAATAACAATAGGCTCACCCTTCGGTTACATAGGCTGAACATGACTGACGAAATGTGGGTGGTACATTGCATTATTATTACTTACAGCATAGACATCTGAATAAGGGTGGCGTTAGGTTATGTATTTTATCTGTCTACCTACTCTATAGTATAAAACAAAGTCGTTATCCACCGTGTCTGTCCCTATGTAGGTATGCTTAGATCTTTAAAACTACGCAACGGATTTCGATAAGTTTATTAGACAGAGTGATTCATAAGGAAGTTTTTTAAGTACCTATAGGTAATCGGCGGGTCACTAGTTATGTATAAAGCTGTAGAGTTAGATGAACGCGTTAATCTCCAGAACTCTGTTTCGAATTTGATGATTGTTTTGGCTTGGCTATAAAATATCATACCATCTACGTTCAAAGGAGCCAAGCAGTTGGTGAATCTGGTCTGGCTACCATAATATACAGCTATAAATACTATCGACCAAACCATTTGTTATGATACATTATTCAAAATAATATTGTAAATAAAAGATAGCATTTGTAAACAATAACATTGAAATACACACAAACTTTAGTCTGCTGGCTTCCTGATACCTAATCATGGGTTTATCAATGCTTATTATCATCAAGTGCACTCAAGACTCGACCAATTTTAATTAATTACCTATCTTTTTCATAATGATTACTACAAAATTTTTTTACGGGATAAAGCGGCAAAGGACCTGACGAAACACCTGATCGTAAACCATTATCGCTGCCCATGGACACCCGCCACACAAGAGGATGCTAGCTTTTTGGTGTGGATCCATGTGCAAAAAAAAAATTTAACTTTGTAATCTCACCTGCGGTGATTGAAGATGGATAGTTGGTTTTTCAGCTTCCTGTTCCAAGAGACTCTTCCATATTTCTTCCTTGTATTCACAGTGGTACTCTTCATCTTGGTCAGTGAGGTGCTGTAAATAAGAAACATTGTTTTAGTAACGAACTTACAAAATATATTACATCATAAATATACAATTAATTTACATCCATATTACATGGGACTCATAACATAAATAGTTAAAAGCAGGTGTTATATTGAACAGTGGCATTCAGTGCCGTGATGTTATGTAATTTTTTTATATTAAACTATTTTACCACATTAATATCATTAGTTTGGTTTTGTTAACATGTAAAGCTAAAAAAAATTAGTATAATAAGCTTAAGATTGATCTTTGTTGAAATAGCACATTTCTCTTTGGATCTATTGATTGGTATTTAATCATTCTTTTTGTGTTGGATGGTTCATTTATTGAGGAAGGTTACGGTCATGGATCATGGATGGATGGACATCACATTACAATTAATATGAGCCGAGCAAGAGAGAAAACGCAAGGCAGCAGACGTTGTAATACAATCAGAGTTTTGCCCACTGTTACTTTTTGGCATTTGGTCCGGAATACTAAGTTGCCTTAAACTGTCAAACACCAAGCGGTCACCGGTGACCGCAACCTATTGTTCTATAATTGTGTCTATAATGACGGTACTTGACAAGTTAAACTGTCAAACACCAAGCGGTCACCGGTGACCGCAACCTATCTATAATATTGTGTCTGTAATGACGGTACTCAACGACTTAAAACCTGCATTCTGTATGTTTTAAATATACCACTTTCAGATATTTTAGATAGGAAAAGTGAAGCAGGTTTTTGTTTACAGTATGATTTTCTACCATCAAAAAATATTTAATATTATCTACCTACCTTTACTAAAATTGATCACGAAAACCTAATAGCTAGGGTATTGGCATGTAGCCAGAGTATCATACAAGTATATTCATGTGAATGACTCATTGCCATTTCATCTATCAAAAAAAGTTAACAATTTTGACTAAGTGGGTAATATTAAATTAGTTATCTTTGTATAAATGTCAATATACCGTTATTTTTAATTAATTTTCTGTCTCAATAGTTGTACAAAGAAAGTGGATATGTATCATTTAATTTGTATCTACCCTTTCTGAGGTAGCTGTAATTAAGTTCAATTTTGTCTTTGTCTTCCATTCTTTAACTCGTTGAGTACCGTCATTATAGACACAATTAAAGAACAATAGGCTGCAGTCACCGGTGACCGCTCGGTGTTTGACAGTTTAACTCGTTGAGTACTGTCATTATAGACACAATTAAAGAACAATAGGTTGCGGTCACCGGTGACCGCTTGGTGTTTGACGGTTTAAACTGTTAAAGGCTGTTTCGTAATTATTTCTCAGCTTAATTGTAATCTCCAGGAGCTGCCTGAAGTTGCTGTTAGCTTGAAGAACACATAATTGAAATTGGTACATCAAACTATTTGTCAATTACACAAACAGTAGATTATTCATACATTTTGAAATAAACGTGAACGAAATAAAATAGGCATAAAATTATATTCTAAATAAAAATGCAACTGTTATAAGGCATGTTCAATGTAAGGAATTGTTATCATTTAATATGATTTTAATGAAACACTCATTAATTAGTCATTAAAAGTAATTAACATTATCTTTTTAAATATTTGAACTTGGCCATCAACTTTTTGGACGCAAAGTTACGAAATAGGTTTTATTAATTGATTGATAAGTTAAAACGACATTAAACTTGAAATATTGTGAGCAATATCAAATAAATTTTTATTTTTATTATCAAATAATTTATTTCTTCTATAAAAATTAACAAACACATTTTTGATAGATTTATTGTATGAGGTGAATGTAACATCAGCTGTATCAAGAATGTTATGTTTCATAAAACAGCTGTTTGATGTCGTCATATTTTGTAGATACACAAAACTTACTCAAATCATCAAGATAAAATGCTAATGTTTCTAACTACTAACAAAATCATCAACCGCATAAACAAAATGCATCATTTTTGTTAGGTTCACAGATTTTTGACATCTTTATTTGGTCATGAAAAATGATCTGTTTTCGAATAGTCCCACATAGTGACTTGCTTGTTTCATTAAAATTGATTTTATTATAGTGTTTTAAGCGGCGCTGTACTGTTAATCATGGCAATAAAGCTAATATTTATTAAATTAAACGTACACACAAAAAATAACACATGGTAAAATGCTCACATTTCTTTCGAATTTTTCTTCTGTCCTTTCAAACTTCACGCCGTTTTCTTGGGAGCTCTTGCTTCTCCCGCTGTACAAGTTAAGGTTTGAGATGTTTAACGACTCCATTTCTTCTTTTAATTACGGTCGAGAACTTTTATAAAAGTAGAAAATTAACACGTCGACCAAATTGTGACGTGAACCACGTGGAAACAAGTGTCAAATATTAAAGCCGAAAATTGTAACAGAATTAATTCTGTCGTAGTAATCTAATGTACTGTACGCAAGCATCACTTTCCCCATTCAAGTAAAGCACAAGAACGCCGAGAAAATATCACAAAGGACTGTTTTTCATTTGATTCCGTCACATGGCGGAGCGGAGCGAGCTTGTTCGTAACATTTTGACAAATGGAACTGATGGATGATGAACTGAGTGAATGACACTGAATCACTGAAAGTGAATGAGCGTACTTGATTGAATGAGAGTGATTGACTGACTGAACGAACAGATAATTTCGTTCGGAAACAAGGTGGATTTGAAGCATTCAAAATACAGAACATAATACTCTAACGAGCGTTCAAAATCATAGAGGAGACCAAACTCGACTAAGTTAATTGAACGGAGAAGGTTAGAGTTTCTGGTTTTAGAATTATTCATAGCTTATGACGAACATTCAAAATTAATTAGTCCAAAATGTGTATTGTTTGTCTAAAATATTGTGTTATTCAATTATCAAAAAATTATTACTTTGACAAAAAATATCGGTGTTCCTCTGCCCATATATGGTAATATCAATGGGCGACACTTGTACCAACTTTCCGAAAATTATTATTGTACGTCATTTTTTTGGTAGGCTATGGGGCTTAGCGGCTGACTGTGTTTCTCTATAAATAATTAAAAGTACTGAGTGACCAATAGTTTTAGCATTATCAATTTAGTGATTAGTTAGTAAAGAGTGTTCACATAATGTCTTATTCTCATAGTAAGTTTTAAAATACTAGTTTTATGGGGCAGCATGGTAGTAGTAACAAGCGGGTGAAACGTATCGATAAAATTGGCTGTGTATAAAAATAATAGTGATTAGTGAATTTACAGTGTGGTTTTGTGTCCGCAGAATATACTTGGGCGGCTTTGCCGAGGACCCAGAGAGGTACACCGCTAGTTTTAGGCGGAGACCCGAAGGGTAGAAACTTCCTGTATACCAATGGGAATTCCGTTATCATCAGAGATATTGAGAACCCCGCGATCTCGGATACTTATACAGAGCATTCTTGTCAAGTGAATGTCGCAAAATATTCGCCAAGCGGTTTCTACATTTCTTCAGGAGGTAAGGTTACTCAATTTTTTTAACCTATGTATAATTTTTTGTATGTAGAACTTGTTGCTGTACATGATACAGATAACACAAGAATTATTTGTTTTATTTAGGCACAGGAATTTTCTTCCTCATCCTATTGAGGTTTGTATTTGTTGTAGGGAAGTATTTTTGATATAATATGGTTGTTTTCCTTGTTACAGGAGTAATTTTGTTTATATACTAAAGTACCTACTTGTTGCCTGTTGTATTGGGTTGTTTATACCTATATATGACATAGTATTCAATCTTTAGATGTGCATAATTATATCTTAGTGTCATTTATTAAACAAATGACACTGGAAACTTAGTCTCCAAAAATAATAATTTTACAAGTGGTTTTATAACTATAAAAGGAATGTAATTCACGATTGACAATCAAAACTAGTTTACATTTATTTTATAGGTATAAACATACATGACATACAATAGAAATGGGACATTTATCTTTCTTAACTTTCAAGTTTTAATTAAGTACATAATATGTTTTTTAGTAATACAGTAATGTTTTATTAAAGAAATAACTACAAAATTCTTAACTTTCACTGAAATGTAGAAAACACTAGATATTTGTACTGAATTAATATAACATTATAATTAAACACTTTCTCTTTTGTTGAAGTAATTAAGACATTTCGTAATTAAATATGAACAATTTATGTCAGTACAAAGTAAGTTTTAACTCGGTGAGTACCGTCATTATAGACACAATTTGACTGCACGGTTGGTGCGGTGGCTGGGCAACCGGCTGCCGTGCAACATGTCGCGGGTTCGATTCCCGCACGGGACAACGCTTTGTGTGATCCACAAATTGTTGCTTCGGGTCTGGGTGTCATTGTGTATGTGAACTTGTATGTTTGTAAACGCACCCACGACACAGGAGAAAATCCTATTGTGGGGCAACGTTTTAAAAAAAAACAAAAACAATTATAGAACGATAGGTTGCGGTCACCGGTGACCGCTTGGTGTTTGACAGTTTAAAAATTACAACTTACCATGTAGGTACTATATTCCCTGAAATCTAGAAATTACAAAAAATTACAATTGTTTACTGAAAAATACAACTTTTCTTCTTTTAATTTTTTTTTCTATCAAGTATTCAAGTCCTGAGTGCACAGGTTGCTCATAGGTAGATATGCGCTAATGTCAGCCATATCATCTCTTATCACCAGCTGAGATGGCCATACACCATTATAAAAACAAAATACTAAAAATCAAAATTCTGTTTTATCATCAAATACTATAACTATATATATTTAAATAATTTCTAACTTTAACTCGTCGAGTACCGGTTTTGTAGACACAATTATAGAACAATAGGTTGCGGTCACCGGTGACCGCTTGGTGTTTGACAGTTTAATTCAGTGTGTATAAAGATTAACTTATGACTCATAGCATACCAGAGATGAATCACAAAAAAACCTGTAATAAGTATTTATTGAAGCCATATTTGGCTAATATCTCAATGTCACTTCAGTGTGAGGTCATTAGAAAGCTTGCATATAGTTTTCTATTCATGAAGGTTAATATTGTACACAGAACATAATTTCCATTCAATTAATGTTGTCCTACACTAGGATTTTGTCTTAGGTGTGTTTACAAACATACAAGTTCACATACACAGACCCCCAGACCTGGAACAACAATCTGTGGATCAGACAAGAGTTGCTCCATGCGGGAATCTAACCAGGTTCTGTTGTATATTTTTAACTTATCTCAAAAGTTCGTCCACCTACAGTCTATATTATTATTATTTGTCAGAGTAAAACATAAACTCCATTTGATATCAAATAGCAATGAAACAATTAATATCTACATGTTTTATGTAACTGATAGTGACTCATATGTCTTTGGTTTATCTTCGTAAGTTGTATATGAGTGATTCATTACGTTACATCTGATTACGGCACTCCTAAAAAAAAATATTTTACTTTTATTTATATTGTTCGTAATACTAAGACTTACGTGTAGCGAAATTTTTACTTTACTAAACACACAGAAATATTAATTATATCTATTTATAATATTTGCGGATGACCAATAAAATATATTTAAATTATTCACAAGGGCTGACGACCAAACACTACTGTTTTTTTTACAATTCAGTAATTGGGTAGTTTCCAGGTTATCAAAATTAAAAATCTAATTAGTCCATCAGTTAGATAATGAAAAAAATATTAGACACGTATTTTTTTTATTTTCTCGTATTAAGTTGCAATACTTAATAAAATGGCGCTAAGTTTAGTAAGGAGTGGGTGGTCGTTACGTCATAACGTACTACAAATTGTGGCACGCTGTGATTCAAATGTCATTTCAAATTAATATAACGTCGAAAGTATTTATTTTGTGAGAAAATTAAAATATGTGTCTAAAGCTTTAACTTAATCTACCAGACTGACATTAAAATATAATTTAGGATTCTACCCTATTACCTAGATGTTTCTCTTTGGAACTGAGAAAATAAGAATAGAATAACTTTTCATCACACATAGTCCTTCCGCGTTATCGAAGACGCCGACTAAGGACTACACATTCTACATAAACCGGGCAGCAGCGCTCTTTGATAAACTTCGAACTTCGAACTTCAAAATGGTTCTCAAAGCGTGTTATCATGGTCTATAACAATTTAACGAGCAATTGCCACAGAATAAACTGTCTCTCATTTCTAGAAGTGTTTGCCACAAAATGTAGCGATTCGTTGACTTATTATACACAGTTTATTCTTTTTTATTTTTTTTTCTTTTCTTTTTGGCAACGGAGTCTCCAATAGTGTTGTCGACTATACTGCCAGTGTCGAGTGGTGACGGCAGATTATTGGGCCGTCGAACTGAACTTTGTGGTAGTTTTAGTTGTTAGTAACAACACAGTTTATTATTACATAAATAAACAAACTAAAAAAGTAAAGTGAAAGACATATTTTTACATATTTTTTTTTGTAGTAGGTAGCTAATGGCTTAATTATTGATAGTTGCCAAGATTTTTCTTGGGTTTCGGTTTTGAATAGCTTTTTATTTATTTTTTTGTATCGTACGATGTATTTTAGTGTTTTTTTATAGAGAGTTTACTAGCTTTTATTAGTGAAATCCGTACAAACCATATGAATATCAACTTGAACAAGAAGATTGGTAGTTCATTTATCGAATAAAGGGCTATAAAATATCACGCATCACATAAATAAGAGCCGATCAGCGGGGTATACCGTGCGAGAATAACTAGTGTATTTATATTGTAACTATCCAACATAAGAAGATTATTGTATTCAAACAAGTCGTTCTGGCGGTTAGCGCGTTGAAACAAATAAAAATGCTTTTCAGCTTTACACTACTCCCACACTTAAAAGTATACAATTATTTATTTATTTTGTACCTAGATTTCTGAATTTCATTTTCACAGTGAACGCATTTACGCAATAAATGTTTGTGATGTAGTCTGAATAGAATTTAAATGTGATGCGTTTTTAATCGCTTCAGTATTGCCATTATTCAGATGCAAGTCTGGAACGGAATCTTTGAGGCATAAAGTGAAATGTGCTGGTTGTAATCATTGCAATAGTTATTTACATATCTACCTATATTTTTTTATTGTATGTTTTTTTTTAAACCTTGGCCCACACTAGGATTTTCTCCTGTGTCGTGGGTGCGTTTAAAAACATACAATATCACATACACATGAAACCTAGACCCGACAAACATCTGTGGATCACACAAAGAGTTGTTCCGTGCGGGAATCGAACCCCCGACACGTTGCGCGCCAACCGTGCAGTCAATATACCTACTAGTTTGTAAGGTTTCAAATAAACTTTTCCGCTTTACAATATTAGTAGGATTGCGGAAGGAATTTACAAAAGAAACCTGTTATCTTCTGTGTCTATTTTGCATGGTCTTGATTTATTTTTGGCGTAAGCTATGACATTGCCACCTGCTTCGAACGTATCGTGGGTTTGATTACAACCGAATAATATCCCTTGTATCATTCTCAAATAGTAGTTCCGTATTTTCTTCTTCTCTGTCGTTTCGCTCTTGGCAGAGCGGTCGTGGTCACGTTGAGGAGGCCGTATTTGTGTTGGTGGCCGATACAGCTTTCCTCACGATCTCCCGCCATCTCTCTCTGTTTGTGGATTGTCTGGCGCAGTCTGACACTGGGTTTCCCGTTGCCGATTTTACTTGACCAATCCAGTGAACAGGTGATCTGCCTCGTGATCTGGTTCCCTCTAGTTTCCCCTGATCGACCAGTTCCTTATGGTTGTTAGAAAACAACTAAGGATGACACTGATAAAAACATAATTATTAATTAAGAATTTGACTGCCAACATAAAACTATTGAGGGCTCATCCCCATATGTCCCTCACCACGTAGGTAGTAAAGAGAAAAAATAATTTTAGTTGCTACTAAATAGGCACATAGGTTTAACCTGTAGGCCATATGCCATCACTAGGATTATCATAACATTTGTAACTGTGTCCATTTATTATGATTTCGTGTAATACTGAGTTTTGGCGTCCAGCCAGCCGGCACGCCGATCACTCCAGAATTAAACATAACAACCTTTGCTACTACGCTCTATTCGCTAAGACGATACTAATGTGGATAGTGGACACCCTAACATATTTTAAGCTAATTCTATCTACAGGGAAATCTCATTTCGTAACAGTGCAATTTTAGACGCATTCTGTTTAATCTGTAGCTGTATCTAAGAGATAAGTCTCCAGCTTACCAGGCGGACATCGCAGTTTAAATGTGCACAATTTATCAGAGAGATCTGCTGCTCTTTCTGATGTCTGACCGTTAATTGGCTCTTAGGAAACCGTGGGAAGAGTAGGAATGTGTACAAAAATGTACTCTATTCTGCCTGCGCTGCTCTAATACCCACCTGTATGAAATACATTACATCAATAGCCTAAAATTGGCCACTGCTGACCAAAGACCTCTTCTCTTCAGGCACGAAGAAGGTTTGAGCATTAATCATCTCGCTTGGTCAATGCGGGTTGGCGATTTCAAACTTATACTTACTTAGAGATTGTAAGGTCAGGTTTCTTCACAATGTTTTCCTTCACCGTATGTCCCTGGTGGCTAAATAATATTAGAAAGTACTTATAAGTCGGAAAAAGTCACATTGGTATTGCCGTTGGTAGGGTTCTGACTTCGCAGTCTCATGCATCAAAAGCGGGCGTTTCAAACCAACACGACCACGACTCCACTTCTATGTATAAAACACATAGTATTGATATATTCAAACTAATTTGGGATCTTCCTCCAGTGGCATTTACGTAAACTAGGCCAGTAATTCTCCATGAAACTCCTGAGTCATTTAATGGATTTATTTTCGGCCACAGATAACAAAAGGTCGCCCCTTTCATTTGTAGATTAAATAAAATCACTTTGAACGATTCTGTTGCGTTCTGCGATAAAAAAAAACTGAACGGCTTAATAGTTCAGCTGATGCACGCAATTTTGCGTGTGAATCGATCGTAAAACCATATGTGTTCTACCTACGTAATATAATGTGTATGTTAAACTGAGGTAACATTTAAATACAAATATGGAATTTATCCTTATACTGTGGGTGACCTTTACCTACACTTCATGTCAGTTGTAGGCTGTAACTTGTGATTCTTGTTGAGAAATTGATGATAGTTATTATTATATTTTACTGAAGACCCGACCCGGCTTCGCATGGGTGCAATATGCATGTATTATACATATAAACCTTACTTAAAAATCACTCTATCTATTAAAAAAACCGCATTCAAATCCGTTGCGTTGTCTATTAAAAGAAATAGGGAAGGGACAGACGGACTGCGGATAGCGACTTTGTTTTGTACTATGCAATGACTAGCGACCGACGGACCGACAGTAGCGACCTACTCTGACTTTGTTCAAATGCCATTTCTCTGACGTTCCCTATGAATTTTTATTTTACATATACCGTGTAGTTGTCCGGATAAAAACCAACAACAAAAATAATAGACTTCAATACATTTTGTAATCGAAATCGGAACCAAAACTGAGTTACCAAAATGATAAACGAGAGAGTAGGTAGTTAACTATCCTCAAATATATTCCACATTGGTATTAAACATTTTCCAGTAGGTGCGAACAAGTAATATTAAATCATCGATCGATATTTATTTACAAACATAATCGGTAAGATAAGAGGATTGTTGATAATATCAATTTCTATGGAACCTATGTACAACGTTACTAATATCAATGCCTTTGTAATCAGTTATCGAAGTATTATAAAAGGATTTTCGATAACGGTTAGCTTCGACTTCGTAGAAAACCCATTCATACATAGGTACATACATAACTGCAAAATTGTTATGAAATTATTTATTTTTATACGTCGTGGTGGCCCGGAGGTTTAAGACGCCCGCTTCTTATACATGAGGGTGCGGGTTCGAAACCTACCAACGGCAAGTACCAATGTGACTTTTTCCGAGTTATATGTACTTTCTAAGATTGACAAAAGATGAAGGAAAACATGGTGAGACCTAGGCTTATAATTTCTAATTATAATTCGCATGAAAAGACTCAGAAATACTCAGCAAGTAGAAATTAATGAGGTGTTAACTTAACGAGTACAGCACAGCAAGTTAAGAAATTAGTGTCGGTACATACAAAATAAATACAAATAAATATACTACTTAATTGCTAACATTATACTAAGCACACGTCGTTGCTATGGTATATCCAGCAGGCGCTCGTACAATCGCCAACCCGCATTGAGCAAGCGTGGTGATTAATACTCAAACCTTCGTGTGAGAAGATGCTTTGTTCAGCAGTGGGCATTTATAGGCTGTTTATGATGTTGATGATGATTAGCAGCCCGCCCCAACTTCATCTAGGTGCTGTTTCCCGATGGTCCCAGTGAATGTATAGAATCTTTTTTTACACAAACTTTGTCCTAACGATAACGAACATGACAAAAAATTTATTATCCAATTCGATGCAGTCATTCGACAGTTATGGCTGTACATACATTTTTGTAATCCACTTTTATGAATATGTAGATTATTCTCTGAAGGGTTTCTGCAGCGATAATTAGGTTCACATATGAAGCTAAAATAAGTTAGTTTAGTTTAGCAGACATTGATTCTTTCATACGGTTGGTGGTGGACAGTTGGATCATCCAGCAGTAATGACAATAACATCACTAAATAACAAACTTTGTTTCAGACGCGTCCGGTAAGATTCGCATTTGGGATACGGTGAACAAGGAACATATTCTGAAGAATGAGTTCCAGCCAATCGGAGGGCCGATCAAGGACATCGCGTGGAGCGCTGACAACCAGCGCATGGTGGCTGTCGGAGAAGGACGAGAGAGGTAAATTATTGACAAATTAATTCCGTACTTGTTTTCTCCTGTTTCCTACCTTAAATCTATCGAGGGTAGTGGAAACTACTTGTGAGATATTTCTTCTCATCTAATGAGATATTCTGATTTTCGTTGTAGCATCCAAGACAGTTATTCATGTCCCTGGGACGTACCGGAATTCAGTGTTTTCATTGTAGCGTAGCGGCTAGTTGTAGCGGTTTTGTCCCATAAAATAATAGTTTTACCTACCCTACAGGATTTTTTTTATGGCATATGTAAACGAGCAGACGTATCACCTGATGGTAAGCAATCGGTTTCGCCCATGGACACCTGGAACATTAGAGGCGTTACAAGTGCGTTACACTCACTCACACGACGAAACACAACGCAAGCATTGCTTCACGTCGGTTTTCTGTGAGGCCGTGGTATCACTCCGGTCGAGCCGGCCCATTCGTGCCGAAGCATGGCTCTTCCACACTTATTCGAAAATAAACCCCAGAACTTGCTCGGTATTTGCGCTTGTGGTTATTCGATCAACGAGATATAAAAGTACAATTATTACTTTTTTAAAAAAGCGGTCATCGTCACTTCAGTTTTTATGACCAATCGTTTACTGTTATACTTGGGTGGCAGACCGGACTTTTCCCGCCTTGGTTTATGTGAGAGGGAGTGTCAGACTCTTACTGAGTAAAAACCACCCCGTATCTACTACTGCTTTTCGAGCCGGTGCCCCGGCAACCCGTTAGGTCTTCCGCGGCTCCGTATCGGTTATGATACATCTAGATACATCATACTTTTTTTTTTAAGGGGGGAATATTATCGAATGACTGCTCCCGCCTGGGTGACGCGGGAGGGAGTGTCAGACTCTTACTGACTAAAAACCACCCCGTTCCTTCTCCTGCACAGATATATCATACTACGTTGGGTTTTAAATGCGTGACTTTATTCTTTATCTACTCTGTCTTCTTATGCTAATTATAAAGACTTTTTTGTATGATTATCAGTACCATAAAAGTTTAAAAAATACTGAACCGATTTGGACCGTCTTTTGACTTTTAGAAAGCTACATTATTCAGAAGTAACATAAGGCCTAATTTCCTATGCGACATCGGCACGGGCATCTAGTGTTATGTATAAAATATTTTGTACGCTTAATAACATTCTATTAATTTTTTTCCAGATTCGGACATGTGTTCATGTCGGAAACTGGTACGTCAGTGGGTGAGATCAGCGGTCAGTCCAAGCCGATCAACTCAGTGGACTTCAAACCTTCAAGGCCGTTCCGTATCGTCACAGCTTCTGAAGACAACACTCTCGCCGTCTTCGAAGGACCTCCATTCAAGTTCAAGTGCACTAAACAGGTTGGTCATTTATGGTCGTCTAACTACCCTAAACTATCTCTTAACTAAGAGTTACTTCGCGTGAGCACGTAGTACCTAAACTAATTCCCTATTTGTAAGTGTTACCCTCTTTGTAACATTAAATTTTACTTAGGTACATACTTGACACCTATTTCAGTTTGGGTATTCCTTGAAGAAAATGGGCATTAGATATTTAAAAACAAATTGCGAAATAGTAATTAGTTAGGCATGAGAGGTGTCGTGACGACAAATTAAATTGACCCCATCCGACTAATTATCGAAATTGATAACTTTAATCCAAATCTCTATAATCGATATTAAAAATTCAGAGGTTTTAGATGGAAATCGGTTATTAATTTTGAGCGTAATCAGTTAAATACTACATACTTCATAAATACATTTGTAAATACGTGTGTTAAAATTATTATGTTAGACTAACATTTTGCGAAAACGCGATATGACGCCTTCATGACAACTGACAACAAAAAGAATAGATACTATACTCGGAATTTTAATTCGATTCCAGATTTGACAATTTCAGTGTTGCAACGTTATGACAAGTACTAAATAGTGACGTTGCGAAATTATTCGATATGGAAATGCAATATTTCTGGATCGATTCTTCTCGTTTATAATTTTACTAGCGACCCGCCCCGGCTTCGCACGGGTGCAATATGCATGTATTATACATACAAACCTTCCTTGAGAAACACTCTATCTATTAAAAAAAACCGCATCAAAATCCGTTGCGTAGTTTTAAAGATCTAAGCATACATACGGACATACAGCGAAAGCGACTTTGTTTTATACTATGTATTGATTCTCGTAAACTAAGTATATCAGGAAATTAAATATTTCTGAACCGATAATTTAGTTTTGACGATTAATTAACGATCTGAGACTTTTCTTTTATAATTGTGTGTGAAATAAATAAAAAAATGTAATCATGAAGGAACATGACAAATAAAACAGATAGATGTATTATGGTAATAAGTTATTTTATAAATTGTCGCCGTCATCGCTATCGCTATCCTGTCACTTTCTGTATCATTTATTATAAAACACACACACTGATTGTTTATCGATTTTTGTGTTCATCACTACACTATTATATGTGGTATCATTATTTCACAAAATGACAGTAGCTATTGTCAAATCTGGAATCTAATTAAAATTCTGACTATAGAATGACATCGAAGCACTACTGATTGAAAAATACGATACGGGCATGTATCAGTTATCTTAACTGCCTACCTAAATTAAATAAATAATAATAATAATCCATTACATTTATATTAAAGTTGTCTAAAGGGCCTCTGCGCAGTTGGCTTCGACCCCTCATACGCCTCCCAAATGATCGGGACCCTGTGGTCTCGTGAATGGTAAAGACACATATAATAATAAAAAATATGCAATAAATACTCTCTTTGAGAATGGATACAGAACAGTAATTTTATTCCTGTGAACATCCCGTCTTCGTTGCCAATTTACTACACACAACAATAATTTCAGTGTACGGGCAAACAGCTCGTACAACCATGTATTTATTATTTTTTACATTTAAAATTATGTTATGTTTTTTTTTAACTACAGGAGCACACGCGATTCGCCCAGGCAGTCCGTTACAGTCCCGATGGCAGTCTCTTCGCCTCAGCCGGGTTTGACGGTAAAATCTTCTTGTTCGATGGCGCCACCTCCGAACTGAAGGGAGAGGTGAGTTCATATATCTATACTTGTCTGCTGAACGCGATAATCTTTGACACTAATGATTCAATGACTGATTGACTGACTGCCTCGTTGGCCGAACGGTCGCAAGTCGCAAGACTGCCTGGCAAGGGGTCTCGGGTTCGAATCCCGGGACGGGCAAAAAAATCCCAGTAGTAGCACGGAGTATGGAAATGTGCCCGGTTTATGGCAATAGGCTCACCAGACTATTAAGTGGCCGTAATGTGCACCTCTGCCCACCTCTTCGGGGATAAAAGGCGTGATGTTATGTTATGTATGATTCAAATTGAAAAAATCTTTAGATTAAATAGATTGGATATATTTACCGCCATTTACATTTCTGTCAACAAATCGAAATCTAAATCGATATCGGTTTACAATAAATGACAAAAATCTAAGTTAATCTACAGATTTTGGATTTGATCAAAAGTCGATCTAATAAAAAAACCGCATCAAAATCCGTTGCGTAGTTTTAAAGATCTAAGCATACATAGGGACAAACAGACGGCAGATAGCGACTTTGTTTTATACTATGTAGTGACGATGATGATGATTGTTTCTTAGATTGGCTCACCAGCTCACAAGGGTGGAGTATACGGTATTGCATGGTCTCCCGATGGCAAGCAATTACTGTCCTGCTCCGGTGACAAGACCTGCGCTATTTGGGACGTAGAGACCATGCAACGTACTGTTACCTTCAACATGGGCAATGCTGTTGAAAACCAGCAGGTAAGCTCCAATTTATATATTATACTAGCGACCCGCCCCGGCTTCGCACGGGTACAATATGCATGTATTATACATATAAGTCAAGTGTGGGAGAGCCATGCTTCGGCACGAATGGGCCGGCTCGATCAGAGGAATATCACGGCCTCACAGAAGACCGACGTGAAACAACGCTTGCGTTGTGTTTCGTTGTGTAAGTGAGGTTATCGGAGGCCCAATTAACACCCCTCCCCCTTTCACCAATCCTTGAATCCCAACAATCCTCAAATTCCTAATCCCAAAAGGCCGGTAACTCACTTGTAACGCCTTTGGAGGTCCAGGTGTCCATGGGCGACGCCGATTGCTTATCATCAGTTGATCCGGATGCTCGTTTATCGGCTTATGACATAAAAAAATATATATATAGGCATTTCCCCGCCTGCATCTGGATCGGCCAATGCGTGGGTATTTGGGCATATAATAAGATAAAACACCGAGTCATATTCATCACTAATCCAACTCCTAACTTTATGAAAAATTATAAGATTGCGCGGAACTTTGACGGTTCGTCGGAGATGTCTCGCGCACGCCATTCATAACCGTAGTCTGGTTCAAAAATATGGCGGCGCTGTTGTCGACTTGACGCTCCGTCAGAATGATTTCTGTGGCTAGATGTCATCCTAGTTCCAAAACAAATAATAGACGGCGCTGTGGCTACGCCGTCATATATATAAATATACCTTAAGAATCACTCTATCTATTAAAAAACCGCATCAAAATCTGTTGCGTAGTTTTAAAGATCTAAGCATACATAGGGACTGACAGACGGCGGATAGCGACTTTGTTTAATACTATGTAAATCAAATCAAATAATTTATTTGCAATATGTAGTGATATTAATATCTAGCGATAAATATTGCACATTAATTTTTAGAAAGGGACACAATCTTGTATGATATTCCAATCATTTATTTGTATTAAACATTTTCGATATAATTCGAGGACTGCTTAGACTAGTTTAAGCGGCTCATAATCTTTGAACGGCATGGTAGAGGCAGCTGCTACGGCGCAAGGTGTCGCCGGTTCGATTTCCGCACAGAGCAGCTCTATGTGTGATTCGCAAATTGTTGTTTCAGATAGTGTATGTAAAATTATATTATTTTGGTGTGGTTTATAAATACACTCACGACATACAAGAAAATCCTAATTTAAATAAAATGTGGCCACATTTTATTCGAAATAAATGTTCTCTGTTTCCCAGGTATCCTGTCTCTGGCAAGGCAAGCACCTTCTATCCGTGTCTCTGTCCGGAGTCATCAACTACTTAGACATAGAGAACCCGGACAAGCCACTGCAGATCCTGATGGGACATAACAAGCCTATCACCTGTCTTGCACTGCACCCCGACAGACATACTGTTTACACAGCCAGCCATGATGGGTGTGTCACCGCTTGGAATGTTGCTACTGGTCAGTGTGATCAATTTTATCTTAGTAAATACAAAATAAAATTTTAGGAAATACATACATACCTAACGCCACGATCTCTGGCCATCGTAAGCGCGGGTCTGCGGATGGTGAGTGAGAACCTAACGGGTTACCGGGGCTCCGGCTCGACGTGCAGGAGAAGGAACGGGGTGGTTTATAGTCAGTAAGAGTCTGACACTCCCTCCCGCCTCACCCAGGCGGGAGCAGTCATTCGATAAGTCTCCCCCTTAGAAAAAAAAAGAAAAAAAGGGTAGCTCGCCGCCCGACCAGTGCCTTTAGCCAAACGCCACTGTAGCGCTTGTCTACAGAGAGAGTAGAAATCAAAATGTATGGGGATGACACTGAGAAGTGTCAAAATTTACGTCAATTCCATATAATTTGGTTTTCTATTGTACATGTAGACAAGCGGTAAATGGCATTTGGCTACAGCTGCAGAACCAGACCCGAGCGTTACGGCGCCGAGCGTTCCTCGCGCTTCAAGGAGCCATCAGGCTACCACGGATGGGGCTCAATAGGGCTGATACCGATACGGAAGGCCTAACCGTTTGCCGGGGCTCCGGCTCGAAGAGCACGTGCAGGAACGTGGTGGTTTTTAGTCAGAGTCTGACACTCCCTCTCGCCTAACTCAGGCGGGAGAAGTCTTTATATGATTTTCCCTCAAAAAAAAGAATGGCTTGAAACTAGTCGAGTTCATTGTTAAACAGTAACGTGAGTAAGCCAATAACTATAAAACTGTTATTGGATTGTTATACCAGATTAGTTCCACCATTATATAGCTGAAATAATGTACCCCGTTGTGCAGGCTCGGGCCGCCACGTGGCGGGCGCGGGGCACGGCAACCAGGTGCAGGCCATGGCGGCGGCCGCGGGCGCGCTGCTCTCTTGCGGGATCGACGACACACTGCGCCGCGCTGCGCCGCCTGCTGAAGGTATGTGCATTTTTTTTGTGTAGAACTTATCATTTATTCACCTTATACGTTAAATATTATTGGATAAAAATTTATTTATTATAACGTGTACATCTAATTTAATTCATTGTAATAATTTTAACATTTAAGCTCGCTTGCGAGCCACCATTGGGTCTCCATAGTTTGGGGAACTTGGAGACAGATTAGTCACCTTCAAGCATCATTCACAGATAGTAATATAAATAATATTGTTACAGGTGAAGTGCCAGCATACACGGATGTATCGATCCCCCTCGGTTCCCAGCCGCGCGGTATGGACCATATCATTGAAGATGACACCACTATCGTCGCCACTGTTAAAGAGGTAAGATTTTTTTTTGACGCGCATGCCGAACAGTAAACAAGCAGATAGATCACCTGATGGTAAGTAATCGGTGTCGCCCATGGACACCTGGAACACCAGAAGCGTTACAAGTGCGCTACCGGCCTTTTCGGGATTAGGAGTTTGAGAATTGTTGGGGATTCGGGGATGGGGAAGGGGGAAGGGAGCTGGGCCTCCGGTAACCTCACTCACACGACGAAACACAACGCAAGCGTTGTTTCACGTCGGTTTTCTGTGAGGCCGTGGTATCACTCCGGTCGAGCTGGCCCATTCGTGCCGAAGCATGGCTCTCCCACACTTTTTTTAAAGTTAAAACTCTTTTTATAATATACTTTAAACAAGGGGCTTAGTATTACAAAATTACTTTTTTTTTTTTCATGTACTCACACTAATATTTTCTCCAGATTCATGGAGGTTCATTGCCATAAGAATAGTCACTTGATTTATTGAAATACTTGTTCCTCACAGCAGTCTCCTTTGACATAAGTTTAATTTGAGCTCCAACAGTGTTAGTTATTGGAGATGTTGTTTTGTGAATGTTTTTGTTTTTCGAATCATATTTTGTCTTCTGCGGATCAACGGTTGAGCCACTGCTTTAAACGATACGTGATTTAAGTTTGTACGCAAACATAATTATATAGCTTTAACCTCCTGTCTCTCAAGGTTGTTTTATTGTATTGTCATACTCGTGCATTAGATATCAACGATGTTATAAAACATTTACAAACTATACATTGTAAATAATATACTATCTCAATTGGAAGGAACTAACATCTAAGGTACAGGCTCGGCCTAGTTTAAATGTTAGTATTCATAAACTGTGTGTCTAATGTTTTTGTTACAATAAACACTTTTTATTTATTAATAATATATAACACATATAATTTTGTGTCTGTTTCTCTTAAGTTTTTTTCCAGTGTCTACTAATATGGACTTGAAAGCTCTTAAACACTCGTAAAAAGTAATTGTTTTGTTCTCAGTTGGCTGTAGTGATCGGTACTAGCAAGCAATCGAGCTTGCCGCTGTCGTACGAACCGACTTGCGTCAGTATCGACACCAAATCTAGACACGTCGCTGTTGGTGGTAAGTTAATGAATATAACTATATTGTATCTTGTTCAGTCAGCATAGCTATTTATTGAGGTAAAAAAAATATTGATCCAGTACACAGACAGTAACCAATGGTTTGGAAGTGACCAAATTACAGTGGCGTGCACAGGTTTTCGAGACAGGGTAGGCAACTAAATATCGTATGATTAAACCCCTCCCCCCCGCCGGTCATACAATCATGCTCACACAAGATAGGTACATGTACATAATATATTTTGAAAAGTGCGTTCAAGAATATTGTGGTGTATTGTTTCGCCAAATTACATACACTGACATCTCGCGTATTTTTTGTGAAGTACTTCATCAGCTATTGAATAAGCCAACAAAACTTACAAATAAAGAAAGATCTATTATTTATTTTAATAATGAAGCATAAATTTGATGAACCAAATTTCATTATGGAATTGTTAAGGTTAATCAATCTGGTCAAAATCATAATATATTACGAATTTAAGAGCGTAGGTACCTACATTGTGTCAACAAACAAAACAATAACAAGCGCGGCCGGCTGTGGCCGAGCCGGCCGAGTCTATGCGGTACATTTGTTATTACTACATTACATAAATATTAATAATAAATTAATATGTGAATCAGTACAACCCGAAGTCTAAGTTGATATTTTTAAGAATTATCAAACAATAAACAAGAAAATCAAATAAAAGATCCATTATAGTACATATTTACATTACCTACCTTTTACTTGGGTCAATTCTCGTAACTCGAGTACACCTCTGCCTATGGTCATTACCTGAATCTAGTCCGATAAAGGACATTGCGAAATCTTACTGTTTTTACTTTCAACAAACACATAAAATTACCTATTATTCACACACACTTCACAATCGAATAATATAGGTACTTGTACTAGAAACTGAGAAACAAATACACTATTTGAAAAACCTACACATATATTTAACTACTACTACACATTTATGCAACTTTATGTTTAAAACTAATTCCTAATAATTTAAACGAAAACATAAACAAAGCGATCGCACATCACATGAAAACAATATGGCCGAAAACATTGGAAATGAATTGAAGTCATTACCAATAGTCAATTGAGTGTTTATTATAAAAAAAATGTAGCTTAAAAATTAAGGTAACGCAGCGTTTAATTTCAAAAAAACAAACGTTAATTTAGTAAGTCAAATGAAATTGCATCATCGTCTTAAACCAATATTTCATACTAAAAAACATTCATTCATATAATTTGAAACGTTGTAAATGGCGCCATCTTGACGTATCAATAACTTCCTTTTAACTTTTATAATAATAAAGTCAACTCCTCGTTTAAAATTTCTATAAACCGACAACGCGTAAAAATGTTAAACTTTAATTAAAACACTTGAAAAATATTTGTTAAATACGCATTTATAAAAATACATTCGCATTATATCGAACGAGTTCAGAAGTTTCAACAAAAAATTCAATAGATGGCGCTGGTGTACTCCATTCATCAGTACTTTACGATATACATACAAATTTTATCAATTTAAATCCTTTTATGATTTAATTGTTTTTAAAAATACAATAACTTGTTGTTGTTTTATTGTATTTAGAATTCTTAATAAAATACGATCGTTTTCCAAGTGATGAACGAACGGTCCTCTAATTTTTTAGTTGCAAACATTTTGTCAATCAACAGGAATCGCGTAATATAATTATGAATGGTTATTCTGTACCGTGACTATGGTCGTGAACTTCACGCATGCGCGGTGCATACTTTTGGTACATTTCTTTTGTGACGTCACTACTGCCAACCAAGATTTAAGGAATAGTGGCGCATGCGTGGTGCGTGCGGGGCGCATTCATTACTTTACAAAGGCGCGTATTTATGTTAGCCGTTTTTTTACAAACTTTTATTATATTATTGAATTTTAATAAACGCGTTTGTACATTATATGTATGTTATATATTCACGATATTTATAGGTAGGCAATGCCTTTTCGCCTATATGGACTGCACGCCACTGCCAAATTATGGTTACAGATGTACATAATTTAGTATAACAATTAGTATAGTCAATTTTTCTCCTCTTATAATATCTTCTGATTTACTGCGTTGCGGGAACCAAGACAGTTATTCATGTCCCTGGGACGCACCGGACTTCAGTGTTCCGGTGTTTTCATGGTTGTATCTACTGTAGATCCTGGCTTACAAGAGTTGCAGCGGTTTTGGGAGGTAGCGGCGGGTTCGTCCCTTTAAAAAAAGCTACTGTCAATCTTTGTTTTCTTACCCGCATACCAAATGAATTACCTGTAAAGCTGCATCATCATGAACAACATCAAAATTCACATGCCATACTAAAAAATATTTTTGAACACTTCAGGAGCTGACAACAAAGTCCACATGTACACTTTGGACGTCCGGACCCTGACCCCAGGAGTAACCTTGGACCACCTGGGCCCCGTCACCGATGTAGCATTCAGCCCTGACTCTAAGTACTTGGTCGCCAGCGATGCCAATAGAAAGCTTATTCTGTATTCCACAGACGAGTATAAGGTATGCATCTTCTTTATATTTTTAGTAATAGCTAGTATTTACCCGCTCTGCTCGGCTCCTTTTCATCGCAGCGTGATGTTTTGTAGCCTATAGCCTTCCTCGATAAATGGACTATCCAACACAGAAATAATTATTCAATTCAAACCAGTAATTTCGGAGATTAGCGCGCTTAAAAACACATACAAACAATAAGATTTTTGTCGCTGTCTGACTGCTGAGCAAAGGCTTCTTCTCATACGTAAAAGGCAATGAGCATTGATGCTGATGACGCTTGCTCAAGAGTTGTGAGGATGTATGTATGGTTGTCTCACTCATACTCATTCACGCATGCAAAAACTACTGAACGCAATTATTTGGTATTAGCTTCTGCCCGCGACTTCGTACGCGCAATCTCGTTTTCTCCCGTTCCCGTAGGATTTTCAGGACTTTTTTCTGTCTTAAAACCTTCTCCTGACAATAATAAACACGAAAAAAAAATCAACTAAAATAAAATAAAAGTTATGGCGTGACGACGGGAAACGGGTTTCATTTTTATATATACAGATTTGATTACATATAATCATCAATACATAGTATAAAACAAAGTCGCTTTCGCTGTATGTCCGTATGTATGCTTAGATCTTTAAAACTACGCAACGGATTTTGATGCGGTTTTTTTTAATAGAGTGATTCTTAAGGAAGGTTTGTATGTATATACATATTGCACCCGTGCGAAGCCGGGGCGGGTCGCTAGTGTTAAATAAATGATATAATTTCATTAATGTCATAATCTGATTAATATCACCGCTAGGTGACTTCTGTGTCCAGCTAATACTGAGTGGGTAACCCATTTAGCATAGACATATTGTTAGCATGTTCTGTTTACTCTCAATATTATTGTACTTTTATGTGTCTTATGTCCTAAATCAAAAATGTCTCTCATTTTAAGTCGCAATTATGTATAGTTGTGACCTACAAAATCGTTTTAAAATGACAAACATGGCACGATATTCAACTTAAAATTTTAGTAGTCATTCAGTAAATATTCACTACTCAGGTAAATATTAGTTTTTTTACCGACTTTTTTTTGTTTCTATTTTGATTGTAGGTACTTCCAAATATGTTTTAGATTTTTCGTTGTTGTGCCATTAGTGTATTCTTTGACTTTTTATTTATGCTCCATCGTGTTTGGTCCTAAATCCATAATTTTCTTTCTTTTTTTCAAACTTGTTTTGAGTACTTTATATTAGTGGTTTCTAAATATACTTAAAAGCGATATTGATACTTCCTAGGTTATTTTTTTATATATTATGTATTAGATGGGACTGAAGTTTGACCAGCGATGATGTGGCCTATGATGGAGTACGTCGAACGAATGTCATAGTTTCGAACGAGCCAAGCCCCTGACAGTCTCAAAGCCTCAAAAACTTAATTCACAATATATTTCCGCAGTTGGCTCACAACAAGGAATGGGGCTTCCACACGGCGCGCGTGAACTGTGTCGCGTGGAGCCCGGACTCCACTCGCATCGCGTCCGGGTCCCTCGACACCTGCATCATTATATGGAGCGTCGATACTCCTAACAAACATACCATCATTAAAAGTAAGTTCAGTCGTATATTATTTTATGTATATTTTTTTACAATCATCATACTGCCTCGTTGGCCGAGTGGTCGCAAATGCGACTGCCGGGCAAGGGGTCTCGGGTTCGATTCCCGGGTCGGGCAAAGTATTACTGGGTTTTTAAAAATCTCAGTAGCACGGAGTCTGGAAATGTTCCCGGTATATGGCAATAGGCTCACCCTCTATTACATGGAACTCATAACATAAATAGCGAAAAGTGGGTGTGTGAACATTGTACAGTGGCATAATGTGCCGAAATGTACACCTCTGCGTACCCTTTCGGGGTTACTTCGTATTAGTTACTCGTTCGGTTCCTATAACAATTAATTTTTGATATATATCAAAAATTAATAAAAATATTTTTATTAACTTTGCCCCTATAATTTTCTTATATCCTGAGTACGTTTTAAACCTTTTTTGATTGACGCGTATGTCTAGTCTACCTCACTGATGTTTCTCGTCTTTTACAAAATTACTAATAATAATTCTGTTATTTCCAGATGCCCACCCTCAGAGCCAGATAACGGGATTAGCCTGGCTGGACGACGAGACGGTCGTGTCGGTCGGACAAGACGCAAACACTCGCGTCTGGACCGTACCCAAACCTTAAACCTTCCTAATATAACACTGGTGGAATTTTCTATGACTAAATACATTTTATTACTGATCTAGCCACTCCCGCGCACCCCAGTTGGCCGTAGCGTGATGGTTTATAGCCTATGGACTATCCAAAACAAAATGAATTTGATACTTGTCTATATCAAAAATAAATTCTTTCGATCTTCTGTTTAATACAATACAATAATAAAAAATTAACACACTTTCATTGATTGATTTTATGAATAACTTTATTTTAGTATTTTTCCAGGAAATTGTTAAGAAATAAGTAAACTGTTTGACGCTAAAAAAACGTGACGTCACAATACACAATCTCGTACAAAATTCATAGAAAACTGTCGTTTTTGACAGTTCGAAAAAAGTATTGAATTTGACTAGCTGGCAAGTATCCAAAAGCCAACCAAAAGCCTCTTATCGCACGGAGAAGATTTGAGCATTAATCACCGCGCTTGCTGAATGCGGGTTGGCGATTTCAACCGTATAATTAGAAATTATAAGCCCAGGTTACCTCACGATGTCTTCACCGCTTCTCAAGAAATGAAATGATTATCTTAACCAAAGTTATCATACGAATATTCCACCAGAAATAATATATAATAGATATAAATAACTCAGATTATTTAGCTTGTATAAGATAAATATGTACTAATGTATTTATTTTGCTTACTACAATTAAGTTATGAAATGCCTCCGTTAGTTAACAATAAATATGATTTTTGTTACTAACAACGAGATAAAATGCTCGCATATCGAACTGTGGACTATAAAAAATAATTTATTCTAACTTAATATAATCAAAAACTGATTTATTTTCTTTTTTTCTTCAAATTTGTAGTATGTCGCATTAATCCTATTATTGCATTTATTTCTAGTCCAAATTTTATATTTATGCAACAAGATAACGGAACACGTAATTGAATTGTACAATTATAATACTGTTAGTCGATTATTTAAATCGATACTATTCTCTCTATTAGTTGATTAGTCAGTCATTCGATTGACATTAGTCGAATGTTGTATCCTGTCGATTATCGCATATAATGTGTTGTTTTTTCATAAAGGCTTAGCTAACACTATAAATATAATACGGTTTTGTGCAATTCTGTGACACTTGAAAACAAACGTGCAATTTATTAATTATTGGTAAATTCGAGAATGAAAGTCTGCAAATCTAGCCGAAATTTGACTCATGAGTAGGTTAGAAAGTAGTAGAGCTTTTTTATTTATTTATTTATTGAATGGTGAATCAACAGCTACATTACACAGATTTAGTATAAAAATATTAACATTGAGCCACTTACAGATCCACGAGAATACTGACTTAATAGGTAACAGCTAAGACAAAATTAAAATTATAATTATATATAAAACAGGCACACAGCAAGAAAATTATTTAAAGAAAAAAAAAGGTGAATACATATTTAAAACAAAAATCAGCTATCAAAAAAGTCTCCACTTTTCTCAGTTTATGGGTCTATATGAGTTTTTGAGTCTGTGGTTCCTGTAGGGTATAAACCTGGGTGTCTTCAAGGTCCGAGTGAATAGGTTTCTTATGGGCCGACCTGCTCCATCGTAGGCCGTCGGTAGATAGTGACTCGTCATTTTTAGTTAATGCAGTATGTCTCACGATATAGTCATTATAGAAACGAGTCTTATTATATCTTATTTCTTTTTTATTTATAAAAAAAGTCCGTCTAGTTCTATGCGAGCATCGTGATTTTTATTTTGTACTGAACATAAACATGGTGCGATCTGAATGGTCCTTTTTATACCCGTCGATGCATACTAACGGTGTGTGAAATCGCATTTATAATGTCCTAGTAAGATAAATATTTTCTATTATTTGGAAAGATAAATAGTTCGTGAAAATATTTAATTAATTATGTAATTCTGCTCACGTAACTGTTTTACGAGGTAACGCGATTAGTTTCAAGCCAGACCGGGGTCTATAGTCATTGAACAGTTCCGAGAGTAAGACGTAAAAATAAGTTGTTCAAGGTAGATTTCTTAATGTTTCTAAATAAAAAATAGTATTTTTAACTATTTTGTATTAGTAGATTTTTATATCCATTGATTTATTTCAACACAAATTAGTTGTTGCCGGTGTAATTTGAACCTTATTGTCAAGAAGTAAATAACTTATTTAGGTATTTATTATAATGTATATGCACATTTTAATAAATTGTTGTACTTGATTAAAATATTCACTTTGTTGTAATGGTATAAGTTATTATTAATTAAACTGAAAATTCGTAGTTCCACAATGTCTGATTTCAGTTGTGTTACTTAGGGCACATTGTTCCAACGCCAGATAAAATTTAACTGAAGAATAACTTTAGAATATCTGACAGATTCTTCCATTCTAAAAAGTTATTGAAAAATCGACCCTTTGTCTTTGAAATTGGATACTATGTAACAAACCTTAAATCGAATGAAGAAATTATTTGAAATTTGTATATTATGGAGATTTAATTTAAAATGTAAGTAGCACTTTTAAACTTAATTTTATGTTCAATGTCTAAATTAATAATTTTAGTTCATAATACTACAAAGTTCATTGCGAAATGATTTATATAGATTTTAAATCTTATGCTTTTGTATTTGTAATAGAGTTCAAATTGATTCTGCGACTGATATCAATAAGTATCGTAAGTTTTTAGTTGCATCTGCAGACGAAGGTCACTTTCAACCTCTTTGTAATAAGGTCTAAAATCAACTGGAGCGACATAAGCTTGGAAAAAATATCTTTAATACGTATATGTTCAAAATTCAGTATTTAAATTATCTTTCCAAATAATGTTTTATTAATATTTTTGAAACAGTATTTTTATACTAATTCCTGATGTAATTTTTCTTAGTTTTACGCGATTTCTACTAAAATGAAGTATGTAAGATGATGAAATAAACTTGTATACACTTGTACAATTGTTTTTTTTACTTGATTCCATGATAGCGGCTCCTAAATACGAGGCTTTTTGACTTCGATCTCTGAACTACTTCTGAACTACTAGTAATAGAAATTCACATATTACCCACGACGAGTGTTGAAGCTAGACTTGATAATTAATAGAAGGTAGATAAACATGATATTTACCCATACATTTCTAAATAATTAAAAACAAATTGTTGCCACTATAGGAACTTATCGTTGCACACATCACATTCGTCACCAGGAACTACAATAAAATTTGTAGAGGTAGATTCCGTGCGGTAATCGAACCCATAAGTGTAGTCAATTTGAATAAAAATTGAAAATCACATATAACATCACGCCTTTTATCCTCGAAGGGGTAGGCAGAGGTGCACATTATGCCACTGTACAATGTAACAGCCACTTTTCACTATTTATGTTATGAGTCCCATGTAATAGGGGGTGAGTCTATTGCCATATACCGGCCACATTTCTAGACTTCATGCTACTACTGTCAATTTTTTTAAAACCCAGTATTACTTTGCCCGACCCGGGAATCGAAACCGAGACCCCTTACCCGACAGTCGCATTTGCGACTACTCGGCCAATGAGGCAGTACGTAGGTACTGCCTCGTAGCCGTAGGGCTAACGTGGGTAAAACGGGGTGAATAGAATTCGAGGGGTGAATAAATGTTGGGAAAATATTCTAACATTTATTCACCCCATTCCTGTATCTATTCACCCCTCGAATTCTATTCACCCCGTTTTACGGTATGTAAAAGAAAAACTTGGATAAGTTTCAAGCCATATCGGGTCTCAAATGCAAGTAGAATAATTAAGTGCGCTCAGTTCGCGGCAGAGTTTGCATTTGGTACAAATCTTAACATCGACTAACAGTGGCGGCTATTTTTTTTTAGGGCATTTGGCGCAAGACACGAACAGTAGCGGCGTATTTAAGGGGGAAAGTCATCGAATGATTTCTCCCTCCTGGGTGACGCGGGAGCGAGTGTCAGACTCTTACCCCCGTATTTATAGACAAGTAAAAATAATTACAGCAAAAATAAG